TTATTAAAATTTGTTTTAATAAATATATTATTACTTCAATTAATTGCAATTCATTTGGTGACATAAACATCTTTGGCTGTAAATGTGGTTTATCTTCGAGGTCTTGGAGTGAATCAATGGTTTCAAAAGGGGTTTGAATAGTAATCGATAGTATTTCCTGATTAAACAGATTTAATATTAAGAATTTTGTCGATAATAATATACCAATAATGAGTAGCCTCTTAGTTGATACTTGCTTAATTTTTATAACTATACCTATTATTTTTAATATAGTAATTGTTAAACTATCCACAAAAATAAAATAAAATAAAGCATTCACTCTTACTTTCCATAACAATTGCATTTATTACAATCCATAATTGATCTGGAAGTATTTTCCCTATGATTAACGTTACTATATCGGTTCTTGTTGATTTTTGGACATGTAAATATATATTTTAATTAATTAATCAGTTTTATTAAGACTGAATATAACAATTTCTCATTAGTTTAATAATTAAAGTAGCTAATAATTAATGAATAATAACTAAATAAAAAGTATTTATTAAATGAATCAAAATGATGACATTCTTTCTCATATAAAATAATTGCTATAAAACTTACAATTTATTCATTCGTTTAATTGCATTGAATCTCAAGTCAATTGACAAAACCATTGAACATAATAAATATGAAGTGAAAAATGCAATCCAAAACTGTTTTTAAAATTGAGATTTAAACAAATATTATTGCATAGTATTATAACATGTTATTTGTCTCACATAATTATCAAATATATGAAAAAATCCAAAGTAATGGTTGGATTGAGTGGTCTGGTAAAAGCCGCCCATTATATTGATTGCCGGTGCGATGTTTGGCACCAGTATGTCAACGAAACTTAATATCTGTTCATTTGGTCGCAGTCTGTCCAGAGCTATGTCCACTTCCTGTCCATTCAATTTATATCTATTATATTCTAACAATTTTTTAAATAATCAAAATATATTTACTTTCGTATAAACATAAGCCAAATGTGGTTCCATAATATACTTATAGCCCGTTATGTTTAGTTCGCGTTTCATGTCGATCTCAAAAGCAATTGCACTGATTTTAGGTGAACAATATCATTTACATTGACTTTTATATGACTTTCATACAGTACACTTTACGATATTACCCATAATGTGAGCGTTTGACCAGTTCTTTAAGCAAAAAATAGTATATAGAGCACAATGTTTTGAATGTGGTTCCTTTTTCCTAGTATTTTACATTTAATATTTTAAAATTGTCAAATGTTTTATAAAAATGTTTTATAATTTAATTGTAATGCATTTAGTTATACCATTTGTTGCCAGTTCACAGTGAAATTGCCCACAATTTCAAACTTATAGTCAAATATATATGGTTCGCTCTCATATGCTATACTCAAATCACAAGCTATATTAGTTGTACGTGGTAATTCCATTGTATTACTGTAAGTATATACTTCAACAATTTAATTATTGATTCTTTAAAATCAAATTTTGAAAGGATTGATTTTTTAAAATAAAGTATATCACATTTATTAGTACTACAGTATAAAACAACTTTAATATAAAACTAAAACTTCAATCAAATTTTATAGCTATTAATACTGTATTTATAAAATAAAAATTTATAAATCAATATTGTGTTGTAATATTATATGAAAAATAATTAAAAATAGTATTATAGATTATAAAGTTTATTAATATTAGATTATGTTGAATTAAAAGTTAATTTTATGAAATAATATAATAAATTGAGAAAAATAGAAATTTTCATTATTAAAGTAAATTATTAATATTTTTGGCATTAAACTCAATGCAATAGAGTTTTAATTTAAGTACTATTTCCACAAACTAAAAAATTGATTTAATTAATTTAAAGATTTTATTATAATGATAGTTAGGATTGAAATATTAATTATTAATATATTTGTATGTATATACATATTGTTTATGTATCGTTCACTTGAATATGGCCTTGAGAATTTAAATTCGAAACGAATCGACAGTACATTGTATAATGGTAAGTTTAGTTAATAGTTTAGTGAACAATAAATGCAAATATATCATATAAATATTTTTAATTACTAATGCATACTGGTACTGTGTTAAAGTATTAAAGCAATAGGCTTCAAGTATTTAAGTGAACGATACATATATTTTCTATTAATGACTAGTCGTTATTAACGAGCTATGTTTCAATTTAATAAATTATCAAGCATTTTAAGGATATACTTTTATATATTATAATTTAAATAAGGATGCAACTAAATAAGTTTATAGTAAATTATATAACTACAATCAAAATAATATAATGGTATTTAAATATGTATAATCAATAGAAGTTAGAGTTTGAGAGGGTTTCCATAGAAATTGTAATATTATTTGATAATTAATTGAAATATCACAAAATAATTATGCACAATTAAAAGTCAGATACATATGAGAACATTCAAAATAGTAAACGGAAAGGGGTGTGAAAAAGTATGTGGTTTGCAGTACTAACTTTGTACGGTGCAATTTTAATAGTCTTTAGTTTCATATAACTGTGATATCAATGAAATTAATAGAAATTATTTTTAAATCAAAGTATTTATGATTCAAAATATTGTCATTCATGTAATGAATTATATTTTATTTATAAACTAATGTATATGTAATTGAATATCACTGCCAGTTTTCAATAACAGTTATAAAAATATTTTCCAATATTTGTCTATAACTTATTTGATATACTAATCAATGCAAATGAAACTAAATATCTATTGACATACTGTACAAAGTTTTTCACACAAAAACACATTTATCTATATAAAGTTTTCTTTGTTTAAACTTTTGGTTTGTTTTTCACGATTTGAGTCGTGAATTGGTGTCCAAAATAATGTCCGGTTATGACAGCGAAAGGTTTGTCCGATTGGCTGAATCGGAAGTACAAGAGTTGAGTTGCGGTATCTGTAGGGGTATTCTGTGTCGACCAAAGTTGGCTTAACACAAGCCATACCTGTCCTTTCGATAGGAAAGTGCTGACCACCAGTGGACTGTCTGATCCGCCCCGGTATGTCCTACTCATACAGTGATCAATGAGTTATTCATGTGTATTGTTATGAACTAAATGCAGAATTGCAACCAATATGTTATCAAAGTTGGAGATCACATGCGATTTCAAAGACAACGGCTGTCCAGTAGTGGTCAGTTTGGGACAGTTGTCTGAGCACAGCCTCAAGTGTGACTACAATTTAGTCAAATGCTATAAATGTTTCCAAAGTATTCACAAAAACCGTGAACACGATTGCCTACAAACGCTGCTCGACTTGAATATCAAATTGAAGTTAGAGAGAGACAACTTGCTGGACACTATTCAACACATGTCCACCGATAATGGATTACCATTGCCTGTAAACTAATTTTATAGTTTTTAAAGTTAAAAAAAGTTTCATTTTATGAATACATTGCAGCCAAATGTGGAGCGCAAGCCTGCGTTTCCACCGCTACCTAAGGTTTGTACAGAATATTCTGCAATAATTATTAAATATTTTAAAATATTTGGTTTTTTGATGGCATAAGACATCACACATAATGGAAGTGACAGAATATGAGGCAATAGTAATGTGTAGAAATCAATCCGTTGTGATACAAGTCGCGGAAAACAACATGAATGAAGAGATGACAGGAATGGCTATGAATATAATCAGTCAACAGATCCACGGCTACTCGAGTCTTGCGTTGATTTGCGAGAAAATTGTCCACAAAATGAATGACACGTTTGGCAGAGAGTGGCACTCGAGCGCTGACTTCAGGAGTGGCAGCAAATCCTACACTGAATTCAAATCACAATTTGATATCAAAATACAATTTGGTTTACTATACCTTCACGTCTATCAGACAT